TTTGATGTACTATAGCTTGTTTTGAAGCCAGAGATGAGCTCTACAAATTCAATTATGAGGTATCAGTATATTATTAATCCTAGTTTGCCAGGAGAGGCAAAACTTTGGGGGGAAAACAGAGTTTTGTTCATCTGTTCTTGTAAATCGAATATCTCAAGAACGATAAGAGATACAAACTTGAAACATTATAGATATATGGAAAAATATTAGCTGAACAAATGTTATTAAGAGTCAAGAGGTTGTTAACTTAATAATATTTTTTGTAAATTGAGAAAAATGTAAAAATTATTGTAAAAAAATTTTGTGTACAGATGATAAGCAGAAAGAGTTTTTTTTTTTATTAAAATTTTAAATTGTGTATTAATTTATTTAAATTTTAATAAATTACATATAATTACATAATTATACAGTAGAACCCCGCAATAGTCACATCTGCATTTGTCACAATCCTGCTATAGTCACCTTGATTCTTTTATCTAACCATATACATTATATATAAATTCTTGCTCGCTTTAGTCACAATCTCACAACAGGCACATAAAATGCCTGATTTTAGTACGTGACTATTGCGGGAGTTTACTGTACTTTCATATATTCATTGTTAAATTTATTAATGCAATGTATTAGTCATTTTTGACTTTCATCATTTAATTCATAAATAATCGCGAGTTAAAAATATCATGATTTGAATAATGATATTTGCAAATTATTTGAGTTACAAGTTGATGAGTTCAGTCTCTACTTTGTAGATATTAGAGAAAGTTTGTAAAAGACTATAATTTTCTTTTGATCAAAATTAAATGAAGATGTTGGTATAGTAGGTTTATATTTAATGTCAAAGAGTTAGGATGAACAGGTTCTATAGATTAAAGCATTTTTGAAGATAGCAGCAGCTGTATAGTCTGGAGCATGGTTTTGCTGATCTTTAGTAATTACACAGAAAATATTTTTGACTTTGCAAATAATATAGGTATAGTAGTGGTGTGAATGAGCAATAATAGCAATAGGTGCATGATCAGTTTGGAAATTAAAAAAAAGAATATGTGGGTTTGTTTGAGATGAGTCAGATATATTTGGAATTTTGGTAATAGGTAAAGCAGGTAATTTGTCAGATTTTTTGAAACTGTTTGCAGAAATTGTAGATCTAGTTTGTAGTTGTGATTGAAGTTGACCCATTGTTGTAGGATGACTAATTTTGTAGAATTAGAAAGTGAAACTTGTGTGGTATTTATTGCACAAGCAAGTAAAAATTGCTGGTTGTAGAGGAACTTTAAAATTGTATTGTTTTTTTTAGCGTCACAATAATCTGGTTTCACGTTAACTGGGAAAATACGAAGTGACTGAAGTTTATTTTCATTAAGACTAACACCATTACAGTCTTTGTATTTAAAATAGTAGTAGTCGATATCATAAGAATCTGGCTCTTGAGAATCTGCTAAAGTAGGCATTTTGATTTGAGTTAAAATTTAATAGTTTTTTCTAGGAGTTGAAATAGAAGTAGAAAAACGGGAGTAATTCTACTGCGGCTTGTAAGGCTTGTATGTGTAACCTTGTATAATCTTGTGTGACTATAGATATATGTAGTCTGTGGCTGGTGTGGCTAGTGTGGCTAAGTATAACAATGTAGATCATGTTGTGATCTGCAAGATTTGTGTAAAATTAATTAAAACCAATTAAAGAAAGATTGTTTTTGTGTAAAATTGAATATAACAGAAGCTAAAGTTGTATAAATTAATTACTAATATTGATTAGTAATAATGATCTGCAAGTTTGGGCATCCTAGAGAGACAGAAATCTCCAAATAATAGCAAATTTTTGCAAAAATTAGAGAACAGTTTTTGTAGCAGAGTTTTGAAGTATTTTAATTATAAAATTTGTAATTTTTATTTGTTTAAGATGTATTATATATCAAAATGAAGCTATTGTTGAGCTTAATCTTTTTTAATTAAGGAACAATATAGGTTTACTTAATAAAATTTTAAGTAAATAAGAAAAAGTAAAATTTTAAAAATATAATTATAACTCAGCAACAAAGAGCTTTAGAGCTATAAAACTAGACTGTTTATAAGTAAAATTAAGTGTAGAACAACTTTACTTAGGCAGCCAAAAGTAGTTTACTTAATAAAATTTTAGTAAATAGCAAATATTTTTAAGATAAATTTGGTACAAGTAATTATCAGGAAGAATTAGTGATCTGCGTCAATAGTAATTCTTAATATATCTTATTAACATATAAATATTTTAGATTCGAAAACTTGTATCTTGTATATTATTCTCCATTGGATACATTAGATATTGAACAGCATATAATGAGTAGTAAAGATATCAGAATTGAAGATAATGTATCAGTATTTGAAAATCATCTTGACAATTTTTTTGAATATACTATGAGAAAAGACCAAACTAGCCAACTCATTTTACTTCAAGAAGTTAAGCAATATTTTGATGAAAATATTGTTGATAAGACTACTAATGTTATTGAATATAACAACTACTTAAAGATGTTGAACAACTTTACAAACTCAACAATATCCAAGTTAATTCAACAAAATCTGACCTTTTATACATTAAACCTAACTCCAAAAAGACATCTAATCAAGAACTAAATTCAAAAATTATCTTTAATAATAAATTTATAAAACCAAGAAAAACAACTGACTCTATTAAATATCTTGGCATTTACTTTGATGGTCAGGTTCTACCCAACCTACAATTAATAAAATTCTAAACAAACAAACAATTTTATTAAACATTACAATACAAAAACTTTTACCTATTCAAATATCTAGATTTTTTAACACTATCCTTTCACCATTACTAGAATAGCTTTTGCAAATCACTTTATTTACAAATTAAATATTACTCAACTTTCAAGCTCTATTACCAAACAAATTAAAAATCTCTTAATCTTTCACTTAATACTAATAATAACATTTTTACAAATCCACAACTTTTAAACATTTTTGCTTTTTATAAACTATTTACTTATACTAGTTGCAATATTCTTGAAAAAACAATTAATTCATCTCCACTCTTAAAACAAACTTTGAACCAAAAAATAGCTTCAAAAAATTTAACAACCAACAATTACTCCTGACATAATTCTACAATATAAACAAAAAATGAGAAATTTTACTAGCCTCTCCTTTTTAACTCATATTTCAAACTACAATATTAATATTAATAATCTAATTAATAATATAAACAATTCAAATAATTAGGGGTTCGGGTCCCATAGCTTAATGGATAAGCTCCCGTCCCCCACAGACAAGGTCGACGGTTCGAGTTTGGCTGAAGGTAGAATACTCTGTAACCTAAAAAGGAGCCTATAATCGTACGCGAAGCCCTGTGGAAGTCCAAGTGAAGGTACAC